GGTTCTACGCATTTTGGATCCAGTTACCTGTACAGAAAGCTCACCTGATAATCCATTTTCTGAGTCTTCACCAACTGCCTTACTTGCTACAAAGAAAAATATTGGACGATTTCATCCCTATACTAGATATGAAAATATAACTTTCAATTGCTGCAATCACTGCCAGGGAGAACTTATTGTCCTTTAACATTCAATATGTTGGAGGCATGCTACAGGCCCTTGCTTCTTACCCAAGAGTCATTATTATTTGGGAGCTGGAGTTCTTACAATGGTAGAATGTCACTTTCTATTTAAGTAATATATATCCCCAACAATGTTTCATGTACTGGACCACAGATTACTCTTTCTTAATAAATACCTCAGGATAAGAAAAGAATGAAACCGTGTAGATATATTTAAAGTAGATGATACTTTCCAGGCATACATGATACTTTTCCTAAAGGACTCTGAAAGAAAAAGATCCTACCTTTATTTTAGGCCCTAAGTTATATCTTGCTGTGTGTTTAACATGAGCAGATTTAATTGTGGTACTCTAATGCAGGGTGGGTCATATGCAGCTACAGCCATTCATTTACTGTTGTCTATGGTTGTTGGGTTTGGGTTTTTTTGGCACTACAGCAGAATTGAATAGATGCAACAGGGCTTGTTTGGCCTGCAAAACTTAAAATATCCTATCTGGCCCTTTACAGGAAAATTTTTCTGGCCCCCACTCTAAAGGAATAATAGCTGGCAGGGGGATGGGTGAAGGGAGTGTCCGTTCCCTTTTTGGTGATTTATTTTGGACTACAAAGGCAGCTTGTGGAAATACTATGGGTGAAGGGACTAATATTTTAAAACTAAATGCTATATGTTAGGAAAATTATAAGTATTTTATAGCCACATTATCAAGTGTTTCAGCAAAACGTATTCTCATGTTGGTTTTATGTGGGGAATTCCATAGTTCGAATGGATACAACTTTACATATATAAAAGAAATAGATTTTACTGAGCTCATTTTGACAAATGCAGCACAATAGGAATATCCAATTTGATATAAAATGAGAAAGTAGGATCCTTCTAGAACATTGTACAAACTCCAAATGCAATCCATTATTAATTTATATTAATATATATTATTGTTTGTTTATGATGGACCATCATAAAACACCCTTTTATAAGCCTTTTAAAATATCCACAGTATGTTTATACCAAATTACACTATATTAGTTGCAGAATTGCCTATTAAAAGAGAAATCTAAAGACAAATCTGGTGAAAAAACATATTTTAATGTCAACCTAATGAGTTTTTTGTCTGATTCATCTAAGTTAAACTTTGAAATGGCAATAAATTTCTCTACATTCTTTATTTTGAATATTGATTTAATGTGCTTTTCAAGTCTTCATCTAACTTATACTATTTATAATTGATTCTTCAGCCTTTCCTTTGGGTTTACTTAGTATAAAACTTAGAAAAAAACATAGGGGAAAATCTTCATGACATTGGATTTGGCAATGATTTCTTGGATATGGCACCAGGAGCACAGACAACAAAAGAAAAAAACAGATAAATTGAACTTCATCCAAATTAAAAACATTTGTACACCAAAGGACACTATCCACAGAATGAAAAGGCAACCTACAGAATGGAGAAAATATTTGCAACTTATATGGTTTATAAGGGTCTAGTGTCTAGAATAAAGGATCTACAATTCAGCAACCAAAAATCAAACAACCTTATTAAAAAATGGGAAAAGAACATGAGAAATTTCTCTTAAAAAAGATATACACAATAGTCAATAAGTGTATCAAAAGATTCTCCACAGCACTAATCATTAAGGAAATGCAAACTGATAACACTTCATGCCCATTACAATGGCTGTTATCAAGGAAGGAAAATAATGAGTGTCGATAAGGATGTGGAATTGGAACTCTTGTGCATAGCTGGTGGGAATGTAAAATGGTGCAACCACTGTTGGAGTCAGTATGGTAGTTCCTCAAAAAATTAAACATACAATTACCGTATAATCCAGCAATTCCACTTCTAAGTAGATACCCAAAAGAATTGAAAGCAAGGACCCAAATAGAGATTTTTATACCAGTGTTCACAGCACCATTAATCACAGTAGCCAAAAGGTGGGAGTAACACAGGTGTCCTTTGATGGATGAATGCATAAACAAAATGTGTACACATGCAATGGAATATTATCCTTAAAAAGGAATGAAAATCTGATATATGCTACAGCATAAATGAACCTTTAATACATTACACTGAAGAAATAAGTTGGAAACGAAAGGACAAATAGTGTAGGTACAGGAAACAATCAAATTCATAGTGACAGAAAGTAGAACAGTGGTTACGGGGGTCAAGGAAAGGACGAATGGAGAGTTTTTATTTTCTATTTTTATTTTTTTGAAGATTTTATCTATTTGTCAGCACAAGCAGGGGGTAGCAGCAGGCGGAGGGAGAGGTAGGCTCTCTGCTGAGCAAGGAGCCTGATGTGGGACTTGATCCCAGGACCCTGGGATCATGACCTGAGCTGAAGGCAAACGCTTAACCAACTAAGCCACTCAGGTGTCCCCAGAATGGAGAGTTTTTAATAGATACAGACTTTCCATTGGGGTGATGAAAAATTCTGGAGATGGAAAGTGGTGATGGTTGTACAGTATGAATATACTTAATGCCACTTAATTATACACTTAAAAAATGGTCAAAATGGGAAGTTATATATATATATATATATAATCACACACAAAAAAATTGTGCATACACTCATAACCACAAACTAATGGCACACTTCTGCAATGGTTGGTTTAAGAGTGTCAGTAATAGTAATAATAGTTACTAAATAAAAAAAAAAGATCTTAAATCAACAACCTAACATTATACCATAAGGAACTAGGAAAAAAAGAGCAAGCTAAGCCCAAAGCTATCAGAAGGAAGGAAATCAAAATTAGAGCAGAGAGAAAAATAGAGAACAGAAAAACAGTATCAAGGAAATCAAAAGTTGGTTCTTTAGAAAGATCCACAAAATTGACAAACCTACAGCCAGACTGACTTAAGAAAGAAAGAAGATGCAAAAAACAAAAATCAGAAATGAAAGTGGGGAAATTATTACCAACCTCAAGTTAAAAGAAAAAGAAAGGAATAATTGTACTTAATAATTGTAACAAACTAGATGAAATGGACAAATCCCTAGAAATACACAAATTAGCAAAACCGACTCAAGAAAAAACAAAATGTGAACAGGCCTATAACAAAGAGATTAAATCAGTAATAAAAAAAACTTTCCAATACCATATATTTGTATGAATATAGATAAAAAAATTCCTAACAAATTACTGGCAATAGCATAGAAAAGGGATTATATACCATGACCAAGTGGTATTTATCTCAGGAATGCAAGGATAGTTCAACATAAGAAAATCAATGTAATATACACACACACACATACACATATGTAATAGAACAAAAGAGGAAAACCATGTGATCATTTCACTTGATACAGGAAGAGCATTTGATAAAATCCAGCACCCTTTTATGATAAAAACACTCAGAAAAATAGGGGATCAAAGAATAGGAATAAGTAAAATAGAGGAATAAGAATAGAACTTCCTCAACTTCATAAAGGGCATTTATGGAAAACCCCACAGCTAATATCATACTCAATAGTGAAAGACTAAAAGCTTTCCTCCTAAGATCAAGACAAGAATGCTCACTTTCACCACTACTATTCTACATTATACTGGAAATCTTAGCCAAAGTAATCAGTCAAGAAAGAAAGAAAAGGAATCCAATTTGTTTTTTTTTTTTTTTTTTAAGGAATCCAATTTGTTAAGGAAGAAGTAAAACTATCTCAATTTGCAGGTGATATTATCCTATGTATAGAAAATTCCAAGGAATTTACAAAAAAAAAAAAAAACTGATGCTGATAAATTCAGTGAAGTTACACAGTATCTATCAATGCACAAAATTCATTTGTGTTTGATTTTGAATATACAACCTAAAAGCAAATTAAGAAGATAATTCCATTGGCAGTAGAATCCAAAAGAAGAAAATATTTGCGAATGAATTTAACCAAGGAGGTGAAAGACCTGTACAGTGAAACTGCAAAATTTTGTTGCACTAAATGAAAAGAAATCCTGTGTTATGGATTAGAAGACAATTTTATTAAAATGACAGTACTACCCAAAACAATCTATACATTCACTGCATCTCTATCAAAATTCCCACAGCCTTTTTTGTAAAAATGTTGTGGAATATTTAAATGTCAAATTAGTTCTCGTTATTAAAGATAACTTTAAACAACACAAGACTAGTTATAATGAAACGTTAAATTGTCTGATGTATGCTGAAAGTGCTATAAGAAGTTGAGACAGGATTGAATAATTCTGTTTTCTCATTTAGGGTCAAGTGATTAAGGTACAAATACCCAGTTGATAAGAACCTTGTCTTCTGAGGCTTTAACAGAACTCCTGCAGTGATTCTCCAGTCTCCATCACACTTGTAATGTTTACCTTTGTTTTCCACCCTTTAAATGCCTTTACACATATCAAGGATACTGTTTCTCCACACAGCAGATTCCTGTATAGTCTTAAATATTTCACAATATCTACCAATGTTTGTAAATTTTATAATATGCCTAAAAGAAAGAATTTTGCAATTATACAGATCAGAGTCTGCGAGCAAACTGCTCCTTCTATACTTTAGTTTCTTCATCTGCAAAACAAGACCAATAGGGTTGTTATAAGGATTGTATCAAATTATGTAAAGCACTTAATACCATGCACATTATAAACTCTCAATAAGAGCTAGTTAATTTTGTAATATAGCAAAATTGGATGCATAATTGTTACTATCTTCTTTTTTTAAAGAACAGAGAAAGTAAGCCTACCCTATTTCTTAGCTTTCCACAGCTATTCAAATTCAAAGTTGTCATAGATGGGATTTTGTATAAGGCCTTGAACAAGGCTTGTTTAAGAGGTCACACCTTCAGCTCCATGAAATGATCTACTGTGATCTTTTTTTAATAATAGAAACTAAAAATAGAAATCTGTTCCTTTCTTGTGTTCTTTCCAGCTAGAAATGCTAAAATAATTTAGAAGTAAAGGAATCTAGAGTTAATTTATTGTTCAGTTTGTTGCATGGACTATGAGATGGTATAACACAATACAATACTGCGAGAGAAGAAATTTATTTTGTTTAGTATTAAAAAAAAAAAAATTCACTGTATCACCAAAAGATAAAAAGCATTTCCATAATTTAGAGTATGACCAAAGCACATAGACCATAAGAAATGATAACCAAAATTTTGAGGATAGCAGCTTCCAAATGAAGTACTTAATAGATACTTTCAGTTATAATGATCAGTAAAACGAAAAGATTTGGCTTCTGACATATATAGGTGGCTCTGCAATTGTTTAGAATGCTTTGCTTCTAGTCGGAGCTGTCTAGTTCTTTCTCTGGCAGCTTCTTGCTCGACTAGTTTTTCAATCCGTTTCCTTCGCAACCATCTGTAGAAAGATATGATAAGATCTGGTGAGTATCAACGTGAATACTCTTCTTGCTATAAAGTTATTGCTACAGACTATTAAAGGAAGTTGAATTTCTTTACATTGAAATGCTGTAGTCACAAAGAAAAAATTATTAAAGTACTAATGAAAATTTCAGGTTTACCCCCTAAGCTCACACAAGGAAACAGTCACATTTGCAATCAAATACTTAAAATTAAGTTTGTCTTAAAATGAGACTGCCAACTAAAAAAAAAAACCTGAGTTTTGAGTAATAAACACAATATTTTACATGTGATATAGGTCCTATTCTTTTGTTTAAATATGATTTTCTAAGCATAGAAAATCTATCTAAGCATAGAAAATCTATCAAGTATTTGATAGATTCCAATTAACTTATTTTTTACAACTAACTGTATTCCAAAACATGACTCAATTAGGTTAAGAATCCCAGCATGCAGAAATGTTGCTTTGCTCTTGTTGGTAGGGACACTAATGTGTTCTTGCTTTTTACTGCATAAAACAGTTCTTCTTTAAAATGGAAATATAAGCCTAAGCATAAAAAAACACCCAAAAAAGGAGGAGGAAAAATCAACATTCAAACAAATTTAAATCTATACACCTTGCTTAGGTAAAATAACTCAAAAATAACTGTACATACACATATGAAAGTGTATGCGGTGCACATGTGTATATATACATTTGTTTTCAGAAATAACCCTAAACAACTAAATGTATCAGAATAGAAGAGACTTAACATCATAAGCCAATGTTGTGTGGTCCCAAATTGGACACTAGTTTGAGCAAATTAACTGTAATCATTTAGGGGTCCACTGGGAAAATATAATTATGGGCTGGATACTAGATGAGATTATTAATAAAAATAAGCAGATTACAGAATAGTATATACATATGATCTCAATTTATATTTTAAAATTATAATGTACAGAGAAATATCTAAAAGATATGGACTAAGGTACTGACAGTGATTTCTAGGTGATGAAAATGTGACTTTTTCCCCCTCCATTTCCACAATGCACATTTACTGCTTCTCTTATAATATTTATATATGTTTAAAAAGAAAAAAAAAAGGAAGAAAGAAGCAAAGAAACAAAGAAAGAAAAAGATAGGAAAGAAAGAAAGGAACTTAAAGCAACTGGATTCAATATTCACTACCTCTCCCAAGGGTTACTGGCAAAATTATGAAACCAGGTCTGTTTCCTCACAATTAACCAGGTAATATAAAGTCTTAACCAGGTAACTGAAAAGATCAGGTTTGCCTTAAACTACCATAATGTGTGCCCAAATCTCTTTTTCAATTTGGTCTATACAGATCTTTCTTCTCAGCCTGAATTTCTTTATAGAAAAATATTTCTTGGGAAATGCGACCCTTTATTCAGTTTTTCTGAGGACTATGTAGGAATTAGCTGTACATTATCTTTGGCCCATTTCTCTAAAAAATGAACAAAATAACAAATAAATGGTAGGCTATCAAAGGTTACCAGACAGGTAAAATATAAAATAATTTTGGTATTGAAAATATCTTGAAGAAAGAAAGAATGGTATATAGGTATTATGCAAAATATGGAGCTAAAGAATTTTCTCACACACTTTTAAAAGTGTGGATTTACAATTGAATAGATATGTAATATAAGAGATAAAATATTTTGTGGGGTTTATTTTCAAGCTTTATTGACTACCGAGCTCTCTGAAAGGACTGTGAGGAGAGGGGAAGCATCTCTGGCCTGGAACTTACTGTTTAAAGGCCCGCTCGCGGCCCTCTGTTCCTTTAAGGAAGAATAAGCATTCCTCTTGCTTTCGTAGTTCTTCTGTCTTTCTTTCTTTCAACTGCTCTTCATGCTTTTTTTTAAGCCATAATCGAAAAGCTTGTTGTGGATCTCTGTTTTCCTGCTAATTACAAAAACAAGCTTTGTAAATAAACTAAAACTACTTTTTGAGGCCCTGCCTATAGGACCGTACAAGAATACATGTTCCACTCATCAATTTTTCATAATAATGCCAACCTCACTCCCTGTACTCCTAGTATCTAATCAAATTATATCACCTTTGAACCAGCAACACACATTGACCTCTGTCAGAAAATTCAACACTGAATTCACTGCCATCTGGCATCTTTCAAAACTTATTGAGGTAATCAATAAATGAAAAGCGTTTTTACAGCGATTTACAAACTTCTCAATGAGGAGCTCTTTGACAAAATAATTTTTTACAATGGCACAAAAAAATAAAACGGGCTTGAAGAAGGATTGGGATAGATAATATGAATGGAGTTGAGGTCTTTGTAACAATTCCTGAAGGAGCTCCCTGGAATGCAGTTTGAAAGCTAATGATCCAACACTTCTATTATTCATCCTTTCTTTTA